CCAAAGAACGGACAGCAGCAGATGGGTCACACAGCTAGCAGACGGCAGAGCTGGACTCCAAGCCCAGGCGCCTCGGATGGAAAAGCTTGTGTCGCAGGCCACATGGGCCATTCTGCCAAGCAAGGATGCCAACAGCCCAGCTCTGCTCAGCTCTGCAGTCCCACGTTTAGTCCAGGCTCAGTGCTGTGAAAGGCGAGGTCAGGGATCCACAGGCCTGTACCTCAGGGGTGGAAGCCAGAGGGAGGGGAAACTAAAACTAGTTCCCATAAGAAACAGTAAGGGGGACACTGGCCCTGAGAAAAGGCCTTACAGAAAGATGGGCTTATTCCTCCTCATACTTAACGGATCCAGGACACAGGAAGCAGGAAAAAAAGACCGCAAAAGGCCAGAACTAACGATGCATTTAGGTGCAATACGAAGAATGATTTGAGAAAAAAGCCACCTCGTGAAGTGGCGAAGTCCCCATCCCCACAGGTGAGAGGCTACCCATGCTCGAGATGAAGGAACCTCTAGAGATCCAGATGAAGCCTAAGACCACTTCTTAACTCCACGACTCAGTTATCTTATGTAGTATTCTAAGTAGTTGTTCTTTGGAACTCTGTCCTAGAAAACCCAGAGCACCCTGACCACACTGTGTGACCTGGTCAGCTACATGTCGCCCTCCACAGGCCAGAACCCATGCTGAAACCCTCACACGCTACCTTTGTCCCAGACACAGATAAGGTCACTTAGGCGTTGCCCACAGCATCAAGAGAGTAACCATGCTGATATACATGTGGAAACTAGCCCCAGCCCTAAGCCAAATTCCTCAAACGCTTGCATATATTTCGTATCCCAAACTGCCCCCCTACAGACACACCCGGGGAGAATATTTCTTTTTCTGCCGTATGTCACAAGAACACTAAGTCAGTCAGTCAATCACAGTGATGTACACCTGCAATCCCAGCTATCTGAGAAACTGACACAAGAAGATCACAAATTCACACCCAGCCTGCACAAGACCTCATTTCACAATAAAATATAAAAAGGGTTAGGGATATAGCTCAATGTGAAGGCTCTTGGTTCTATCCCTAGGAGATATACATACATACACACACACTAAACCCCTGCAAGAATATAAATTCCCCTAACAAATGCTTTGGACTGGTCACCCCAGTGTTTAGTGCTTCTTCCTTTGAAATCCCAACTGGGCCTATCTCAGGATGGACCGAAGCAGTCCCTTAAAAGAACTCTATTGCCACTGCTTTGGGGGTAATGCCAGCATGAGGTTAGCCAAACTGAATATCCAAATACAGAATTTTGCCACACAACCCACTTAAATAGACTATACACAAACCATACAAAGATTATACATTTTCAAGATATTATACTATAAAATATCTAATTTATACCCAATGCACTGAAGTATTTGTCAGGATTTTAGGGATATCATTATGACTATTACATAACATCAAGCAGTAGGAAATACCGGTCACATATACCAAGTGTGAGAGAAAGAGAACACCCAGTCACAAATACCAAGTGCCTGAGAGGCACATTTAGGACAGTGGGACTTATGAGCCACCATGATGGAATGACTATGGATTCACAGAGCCAAAGCGCTCCAAGGTGGAGACCAGACCAAAAATTAGGTCTCTCACCCTGTGCAAGAGATCATCCTACAGCACACAGGGAAATCTTTTTCTTAACTCTTTATGCAACATTTTAGGGAATTGAGAACCAGCAAGAACAAGAGACTTGTCTTGTTGTTTTCCTAAGGCCCAGTCACTGTAGTCGGAGGCTCACTCTCCTGTTATTTGTCACATGATGGGCTACTTCTTTCCTTGTGAAGAATGCCATCTTCATGGCATATCTTCTGAAGACATCCCAACTTTTCTCCATAGTACAGAAGCCTTCCGAGTCTCTAAGACCATACGGCTCTTCCAGTATGCCCCCAATGTGCTCTGGAGATGAGCTCACTGGCTAAGCAAGTCAAGCTCTTCCTAACTGGCCAGGAAACATGGACACCACCCACTGAGACAACGGGATGCAGTGAGCTTTGACTCTGTATTGACTGACCTGAAGTAGCAGGCAGGCTACTTTAGACAGCCAGCTGAAGTTTTCTACTAGTAACGGCAGACTAAGCAAAGGGTCCAGGCCTAAATTCACACAAAATTAGTCATGGACCTCCCACTGGGACCCCTCAATTCATAACATGCCCCTCAGTGACCTGCACTGCAGGAGTGGCCTTGGACTAGCAATTTTCTTTCCTTGTGCACTTGCAGTTCTTTGGAAATGGAGATTGAACTCAGGCCCTTGCACTTGCCAGGCAGGCATTTATTCTACTGAGCTATCTCCTCAGCCCCCTCACTTGCAGTTCTTAAGAATAACTGTAGAATGTGCTAGGTATACAATACTCCGTGGCAAGGAAGGGATGGGCAGGAATAGCCTAAGATCTGTTCCAGTCCCCCTCCACAGACACAGGCCTTCCGTCAATGGTCTCGCCCTGTGTGTCACATTGCCAAGCAGACTACCTTCTGGGGCCCGCAGCTGCAGTGCAAGTGGGGCACATGCACTCAGGATCTGCCTTCCCCAGGAAGCCTTCCCAAGCCTTGGGGGACTACTGCACAGTGAATCCTGGGTTTCCTTTGTCCCTTGCTGCCCACCTGTACATAATAAAGCTGCCCCACGAAGCCTCATGTGGTGAGTGCTCGGTCCCACTGGACTCAGGCAGCTTGGTAACCAGTGCACAGGAACACAGCACAGCAGCTTCACAAGGTTACCCAGGCACAGCTCGTGCACACCACTGAACAGCATCTGAGAGCTCACAAGGTCCGTGACCCAGTACAGGCCTCTTTGGAGAACTTTCTTCTTATTGATGATTTCGGCAGAATTCAGACAATCATAACTTCACATCAACATAGAAATACCACCATTAGAAAAATGTCCTGTTAGCCATTTTTATCTCTCAGAGGTCCTATGCCTTAGAAAATTATAAAAACGTTTATGTAGTGACTGTGTCCCACTATTAGATATTAAAACGTTTCATTTAACTACTCAAAAAAAATGTTAATCAAAAGGACAAAAACAAATGGAAAACATGGCGCTTTACCTTAAGACTGGGTGCACTGTATCTTACTCAAAACTATGAGACCCAGCTTCCTACTTCTGGAGGGAAAAGAAGGCTACTTTTGAATGAAGAAATGTGAGCAGGGCCTGGGGGCTTGTTGTTTAAGTGATTGGTATTCACTGTTTGTTTTGTTTTTGTTAGTTTTGTTTTTTCATGGAGCTCATGGCCAAACACATGCCAGGACCTCCCACAGTACGCAGACACTCTGGGCCTGGGGTCTACCAACAACCTAAAGTGAGTTTTAGTGTCTGTTTTGTTCCCAAATGGTTAATGGGAGTCTAGTAAACCCCCAAACCTACACAGGCCATTTCTGATAGTATTAAAATTCTGTAATATTTTACCACTACACCCTACCACCAATATCTCTAGAAAAGTATTTGACATCCTGGCTGTGAGCTTTCTTGCCATAGGTGGCATACACGCTGCCTTGCAGGGAGATTACACGTCTGCAAAGTGCAGACTCAGACTCAGGCATGTGCTTTGCTGTGGACGATGAACTGTGAGCAAAGACGTGAGGCAAGTTGAACACTGTAAGAGTCAGCAGCTGCTTCACCCTGCCCTTCCCCCTCTGCCTCGGATGAGCAGCATTCCATCCATGCAGGAGCTGTTCTGCCTGTCTAGGCCTCAGAGGAAAGCTGACTGGAGAAGAGCTGCAGCCAGCCTGCAATGGCAAGGATGCAAAAAGGAGAAATAAACCTGGATTGCCATCAGCCATGACCCTTCGGGTGTTCTGTCACTGCAGCAGAGCCCTGCCTGTCTTCACCAGGGCAGCTTGTGACTCACTGCCAGCAAGCAAGTATTTGCAAAAGACAGCATCTCTGTGACCATGAGATCCAACTTTGGGATTGTTTTTGAAAATATACATGCTAAAGTACATCTATTAAAAATTAAGTATTTACTCAAAAGCTTTCTCTTCAAATGGCAACTAAAAACTTGCTGCCTTACTAACCTGGGAATTGAGTAACAGTTGGTCTCTCTTCTCACTAATTACTATCAGTCGGAAAAGGCAAAAATACATAGTGCATCTGTTGCCAGCAACAAAGTGAAAGATTAGCTGCTCCTAGCAAAATAAGCACTTAGGTTAGCTTGAGATTCCCATTCAGAGACAGAAGGCATGCAGGACTGTAGTACTACAACACTACTAAAGTAATTAATGGTAAAATAAGAAAATGAAAGTTCCATTTAGAAAATACTTTGCACAAACTATATGTTTCTCAACTATAGAAGGAATGAATTTGCTTTTTCTATCCTGAAGAAGCTTCTAAGATCCTGTTTTGAATTCATGTTGCCATAGAAACCAGTCCAATTCTGTATGGGATTCCATTAAAATTACTGCATAATTTGGTGCACACACAACAAGCCTATCTTTCCGTCTCAATTTAAAACAAAGCCACTACTCTGACTTGAATACTTTGATTAGCCTGACAATTTGAGAGTAAAATATATGTAAAAACTGAAGCTCATGACCATGATATTCCTTCAAACATAGCCACTTTGCTTTCCAAAAGGCAGGACCAACTGTCAACACGATTGGGACCCACTGCCACACCACTTCAAGCTAGGTCACAGTACGTCCTTCATGATACCAGGTATTCATGTCAAAGCACGCATGCTCACACATGAAGCTGATTGGGAAAGTATGTTTATGCACATCTCTGCTTTGGACGAGCCACAAAAAGGATGGCACAGCCACTACACAAACATATGACAACAGTAACAGCTAATATTCACTCTGTGTTTACTGTTTTAAATTCTTTCATCTATAATCATGCAATAACCCCGTAGGGTATGTCATGTACAGGTGCAAATTCCCTATGGTGAATGTGATCATTATTTATACTCAAAATGCATCAATAAAGTTAATTAATAAAAATAAATACATTCGCTCTCCGGAGCGGGCCCGCTGCGCCGGGCACAGTGAAGTCGAAAGGAGATGGTGGGTCGGAACAGCGCCATCGCCGCCGGCGTGTGCGGGGCCCTCTTCATCGGGTACTGCATTTACTTCGACCGCAAGCGGCGAAGTGATCCCAACTTCAAGAACAGGCTTCGAGAACGAAGAAAGAAACAGAAGCTTGCCAAGGAGAGAGCTGGACTTTCTAAGTTACCTGACCTTAAAGATGCGGAAGCTGTTCAGAAATTTTTCCTTGAAGAAATACAGCTTGGTGAAGAGTTACTGGCTCAAGGTGAATATGAGAAGGGTGTGGGCCATCTGACAAATGCAATTGCTGTATGTGGACAGCCACAGCAGTTGCTGCAGGTGTTACAGCAAACTCTTCCACCACCGGTATTCCAGATGCTTCTCACTAAGCTCCCAACAATCAGTCAGAGAATTGTAAGTGCTCAGAGCTTGGCTGAAGATGATGTGGAATGAAAACAAGTCTCAACATAATAAAATCTCAAAAAGATTTTAAAAATTCTAAGCTCAGAAGTTGAACGACTGGGGGAATAAGGGCAAATATGCTTATTAGTGGACTGTCCTACACTGAAATCTACCAAAGTTAATGTTTACTTTGTGTAGATACATTTGTCAGTTATTTATTTTTCCCAGTGAAAAGTGTATTTTAATAGAGAGCTTTTCATTTTATAAAAACACTATGAGTTACCAAAATACGAATTTTGTTTATTCCTTAGCCTTGTAGTTAAAATGTACATAAACCATTAAAAAACCCAATGCTTAGTTTTAAAGAATAGGCAAAAGGGCTGGGGTTGCAGCTGAGGATAGAGTACTTGTGTAGCATGTATGAGGCTTTAGATTTGGCCCCAGCACCACAAAAAAGGAAAACAGTGAAAAGGTGTAGGAAAGTGGTGAGTGTTCATTTTTAAAGCTAGCACGTTTTCTTACAAATGAAAGTTGGATAGAGATTTGATTGTATTTTTGAAAAGTGTTAAAATGAGACCTTTCTATTTACTCAAACATTAATTGGTGTGCTACTGTGCTGTACTAACGGCTCCACTTCTTTCCTCTTTGTCTGTTTTGAGCAGTTTTATTTAAATCAGTGTAGTTAATGTTTCTGGGTATTTGTCTCCTTGTATTTTAAGCATACGTAACTAGAAATATTACCAGGAATTAGATCCGTGTACGTGATCTCACCTGTGAGCTTCACCAGTTGGAGTCTGCTCTCATTTATAAAACCAGGGAATCAATTTTGGTGATTTTTAAGTGTCTTTCTGTTTCTCTTGCTTTTAGTTCTGTCAAGCACCTTCAAATTCACCTTTGCCTGAGGAGTGTATTTTGGGCAACTGGGATTTGCATTTTTTAAATATTTTGAATTTTGCATGCTTGCCTGATAGTGTTTCTGAATTGATTTTTTGATGTTCACTGGAATTGAACAGTTCCTGTGACTATGTAAATTTGAAAATTAACCTTTAAGGTAACTGGAATCACCTTCCTGTAAAAGTGTTCCCTTTTTGCTTTCACTTCTGTACATTTCAGGTTGATTAATTTATCTCATATAGTGAGAGTGGGATGTAATACTGACGAAAGACTAGACTACAGGGGACCTCTTACTCTCACAGTGACATCATCTGCTATTTCAGAATTGAGAATAAAGATCTTTGTTACTTAAAGGCAAAAAAATAAATAAATAAATAAAAATAAATAAATAAATAAATAAATACATTCCCCATTATCAAACAGTAGTGAAGAGGTAGAGCTGCAATTTTTATATTTGAATTAGTTTTACTGGTACACATTTGATCTACATAACGATCCCAAACATCACAAGAGATTTGTACCTAAACACAATGTATCTTCACTCTTGTTTTCCCCCATTCCCCTTCCCTCCTTCAGCCCCTCTTCCCTGCCTTATTTTCAAAGGCTTTGTTTCCCTCACTTCTCCCTTTTCTTCCTTTTCCCTTCCTTCTCTCCCACTTCCCTTGCTCCCCTGCCCATTTGAACATCTTCTTCCTGCTTCCCAATAGCCACCACCCATTTTGGCCCCGATTTACCCTTGTGGTTTCTCACACAAAAGAAACAACGCAATGCTTAAACATGTGTGGTTTATTTCACAGAACCAGAATTTTCAAGCCAGGCCATCTGTCTCCAGAGCCTATACTTCCAGCCATTAAGTTTTCGTACTTCACTAAGCCCCTCATAAATCTGTAACTAAAAGCCAAATGTCTCTAATCTGAAAATATGAAATCCCAAATCCAAGGCTTTCATGTGCTGCATTCAGGAACCAACTCTTCACAGGGAATGTGATCATTATGGACTGCAAACATGTACTAATAAAAACATAAAATTTTTAAAAATTAAAGTAATAAAACAATCATCAAAAAAAATCCAAACTCAAAAGCTTGCTGGACACCAACATGACACTGAACGTGGAAAATTCTATGCTTCACTTGACGACAGCGCACTATCAAAAGTACACTAAAAAATATTGAACACAAGTACACTCAAGCTACACGTGTAAGGCAGATATGAAACACAAATGAATTTTGGGGTTAGTCTTGGGTCCTATTCCCAAATTGTCTCATGAGTACGAAAATTCCCCCCCCCAAAAAAACAATCCAAAATCTGTCAGTTCCTAATAAGCATGTCAAACACAAACATATTCAACCTATATAAATAGAAGACATCCTTGGCTCAGATTAACAACACAGGCAAGCACTTGTTCCAGCAGTTCTCAGGCTCCACAGCACCCAAATTACAGGGTGTTCATTGCCAGTGTATGCTTACGCACCTCCACTGAGAAACTCTGACACAACATTTTAAGTGACGTGTGACACACGAACTACAACTACATTTTTTTTGTAGTTTTTTTTTTTTTTTTTTTTTTTAGTAAGGGTTTACAGGGTCTACAGGGTCTCACTACTAGATGGGACTCATAGTGATCCGCCTGTTTGCAGCCTCCCAGGTGCTAGGATTACAGGCACGCACCACCGTGCCCCATCTCAGCATGCCCCGGGAGCAGGGCAGCACCCAACTGCACTTTAATAGCATCCTGAGATGCAAATAGTTAGGCAGACCACCTGAAGACTAATGCCCTATTCAAACTCATCTCAGAACCAATTTCACCTTTCCTGAGAAATGGATGGCAGCCTTTTAAAAAATGCTCAGAGTAGAGAAGAACAGAAGAGAAAAAAGGCCCTAAGACAGCAGGTCTCTTGTACTTAATTCTTCAGAATTCTCTTCAGGCCCTCTACACAGTCTATTTCTTCCAATTTATACACAACCCTAATAAGTCACCTAGTTTTGAAGATGACTTCCCAGTGGAAGCAAAAAGGGAGGCGGGCCATGGAGAGTGAGGGAGCTCAAGACAGAAACACTGAGGGGCCGTGAAGGAAGGCAGGCAGGAAGAGGAGGAGGAGGCAGAGGAGGAGGAGGCAGAGGCAAAGGTTCAAAACACAAACATTTAAAGGACACCTCGAGACACTAAGAGCACCCAGGTTGAGACCAGCAGCCCTCCACACACTAGGGAGAAAGGACTGATTTTCAGAACACAGTAAAAAAAAAAAAAATTCTAGCTGTTAAGCCATCTCCAAACAAAACAGAGGGCAAGTTACAGATTTACTATATTATGCACACTCAGTCAAGAAACAATGATAGCCAATATTTGAGGAAACTTTCCACTTAAGTTAACTGAAATTATGAAAAAGTGTATGCTTGACAGCAGACGTATATCTATTCTATGTCTCTCAGGCTAAAGGAACACTGAGAAATTCAATGACATGGGTGGATGCAGCCAAGGGGGACAGGGCTGGTTGAGAGCTGGGAGGAAGCAGGCCCACGCCGCATGGTTTTTTACCCTCCGTTTCTTGTATGCTTCTTGGTAATGGCTCAGCAACCACACTTTCAGGCTCAGGGAGGCCCACTGTGGCACTGCTGCCTACAGTTGGGAAAAGGTTTTGAGCTCAGGCTTTTGGGAACACTTATCTTAATGGCAATTTTCAAACTCCATTTCCTCTAGTAAACTTGAATGACAAAAATTATTTCAGATCATTTCTTGTTACCTCTCTGCCTTGGCAATATGATTCATATGTAAGCAGCATTGCAATCCCATTTATCACCCTTGGAACGAATGCAAAAAGCTAGATATTCATGTGTGTGACAAAAAGTGAGATAAGAAGGGCTGGTAAGATGGCTCAGTGGTCTAAAGCACCTACTTAGAACAAGCTTAGCAAAGCACAGGGACCGCAGTTCAATCCCCCAGCACCACATGCCAGCCCGCCCCACCCCCAGGTGGGCTGAGCTGGCCACACACACACACACACACACACACAGAAACAAATAAATAAATAAAATTTATATAAAAAAAATATTACAGACCTATGAGATTTACTGAATAACTACCAGATCCAGGAAAAAAAAAAAAAAGTGAGATAAGAAAATGAAGGGAACCTATACTCAGATACTCTGGTTCTGTTTACATGGGCTTTTACCTTGTGGTAGATCAACTAATAGGCAACTTATAATACCCAGCTGAACTCAATTTGCATGGCGCTGGGTGTGGAAGGCCCACCTGAGGATTGTTGCCAACAGAGTAAAAGCACAACTGTAGGTGAAGATGGTGCTGTTGATCATCCTGGACAAGCTTGTCACACTGATTTTCCTGATATGAACTCAGCTGTTTTCTTCATTAAAGGAGCTTGGGTCCTCACTGTACCTGAAGATCACTGTGGTTCTCTTTGGGAGAGCTCCTGGTCCTCACCTTGAGCATCACTTCCTGGCTCCAGTGCAGATCCCTCAGGCTGTTAGCACAGATCCTTCATCCCACTGGCACAGACTTTCTAGCTTCCACCACCAACGTCTGGGCCTTCCCAGTGCAGATCCTTGATACAGATTTACAAGAGACACTGTCATGGGCTCTAGGCCTCCACTTGGACTTGCAGAGGACACTGCCATGGGCTCTAGGCCTCCACTTGGACTTGCAGAGGACACTGCCATGGGCTCTAGGTCTTCAGCTGGACTCCTGCAGGACACTGCTGTGGGATCCAGGCCTTCAGCTAGATCTGTGTGTCTCTAGTGTGTGCACAGATCTCCCACACTCTTGCATTTGACTCTTTGGTTGAGTATTATAAAATAACCCTATCAATTATGTGTCCTGTATTAAATCTTTTCCCTTATAAATACTGACTACAATACACCTTTTGAGAAAGAAATTTCTAAGAAGTCTGTCAGAGCCATGACAGCATAACTGGAAGAGGTTACCAACATTTGTGAGACCACCTGGGTTTTGGTAGAATCCCAGTGGTGATCCTGTTGCCTACCCTTCAGGGATTTCTCCTTGTATTGGCTCCTTAGTAGGAACTGGTCAGGAGCAAGAGCACAATACTGTATTCCTATTGTGTTGGACAAGACAACAGGAACAGAGTCTATAAGTGGCCCCATAAACTGCCCTTGTGACTATTACCTCTCAATATTTGAAGCATTCTTTTTGCTTCTGATGAATCTTTTCCTTGGTTGCAAAGGCAAAGAGGAAACAGAATGCTTTTCTTAATGTATAATGCTGAATCCCAGCATGGTGGTACATGCTTGTAATCCCAGGACCTGGGAGGCTGAGGCAGGAGAACTGCTATGAGTTCAAGGCCAGCCTGAACTATATAGTGAGGCCCTATCTCAAACAAACAAATATGTAATGGTGAAGAATAAGTTTATGTCATGAAACACTATCCTACACAGTATAGAGGCCTATATGTGTATAGTCTAACCAAATAGCAACCTATGGGTTGGGACTTCAACCAATGGGACTTGG